GGGCTATTCCCTGTCGTCCCCCGTTTAGGTGTGGGCTATTCCCTGTCGTCCCCCGGTTAGGTGTGGGCTATTCCCTGTCGTCCCCCGGTTAGGTGTGGGCTATTCCCTGTCGTCCCCCGGTTAGGTATGGGCTATTCCCTGTTGTTCCCCGTTACACTCTGTGAGGATGCACACAGTAAGCCTGATTCCCCGTATAATGGCAGACACACTGTAGGTGTAGAGGCCAGATCGCCTCCGCCTCTGTAGCTCGTGTAGCTTGGCAGGCGTGTGCCGGGTTTTTCCTGCTGCTTTTTGACAGACAGATAGCTGTGTGAATGGCAGTAGGCAGCCCGAGACACTGACCCACAGGGAGCCAGTTCTGAACTCATCTGCCCCTCCCCCCAGGGTGTTCATCCATCCTCCCTCATTGCCCCCCTCCATTCCTGTGATGTTAGCCACTTAATGATTCTGTTTACAGTGTCTGTTACATTTCACACACATCCCCCTCACTATCACCCGCACGCTAACCCCCACACGCAATCCGCTGCACACAAGCTGGTCAATGGCGCACATGAGAGCGACGTTGTCATTGTGAGTCCATCCCAGCATCCTCGGTGGTCTGGGGGTCTGCAACAAGAGTCCATTCAGCCTGGGACTGCGTTTGCCTTCGGTGCGGCACAGGAAAGCTGTTTTTCCTCACAAACAATGGCTCTCTTTCACTCTCCCGATGGACTCCAGGAGGAAGAAAGCGGACATCTCGGCCCCCAGCCGCCGGGGGCGGGGCTCCGGGGGCCTGCAGCTTATTTATTTATTCTTCTGCCTTTTCTCTTGCTCATTTCAGGCGCTATGCTGAAGTGTGCTGTCGGGGAGGGGCCTGAAATTTATTAGAGATGGGGGCAACAAAGAGAAGCTTGTCCCAGAGGTACTGGGGGGTGGGGGGGCGGTGTCCTGGGGGGGCGGGGGCTCTGACTGGGAACAAGCATCGGTGTGATGGGGTGAACTGTTCAACCTTCCTGGGGAAAATGGCACCTTTGTTCCTAGGTGCGTGTGTCTGTGTGAGCTAGTTCTGAAGATCTATGTTTTCCTTCACTGGTCCCTCTTTATCCATCCCATATTTCTATCCCCGTCAGCAAACGGCTCATCAGCCAACACGATAAAGCAGCCGTCCTTACGGCCCCGTCCTCCCTCTGGGGGCCTCAGTGGTGGAGCTCAGGGCGCGAACCACTTACCAGCCTGGAGTTTTCATACCATAAAGTGTAAACGTTGCTTCTTAAGGCAGAAGTTGGA